TGAAAGTAAAATCAAGCCAGATATTAAACAAATTAAATGCAATGATAAAAATCCTATTTTAAAAAATAGTTATAGAGCTTTAATCATCTGATAGCCCATGCTCATTCTTACTCATTAGAAACAGAATATTATGGATTTTGTTCTCCCTTGCTAAAGACAAAAATAAAATGGAACTTAAGATAATGATGATATAAGTATTATAGAAGTGATCTTTATCTTAAAGAAAGTTAACAAAAAAACTGTCTCATATCAATGGTATTCCAGAAGAATTTGTTTAAATGAATACAAATTAAACTGCCTTTAGAATTTATTGAACAATATAAAACAAAAACTTGACACAGATTTACACAAGCTATTAAAACACATTGCTGGTTTTCATTCAACACCGTAAATTCATACAGCAGCTAATATTTCATAGCAGATGGAATATGGTGTAATAATACCAGATATGACCATGTACTGAATAGAGAGGACATGAATTTGACATAGTGGGAGATATGGGGTGGCAGGGGTGGGGAACAAGATAGTGACTGAATTAGGAAACCCAAGCTGCCTTTAAAACTTAAATTTTTGCTGACTGACTGAATTGGACAGTTATTCAAGAAATCCAGGGATATAGCACTTAGAGAAATATATACTATAGATTCATGAAAATCTTAAAATCTTGATGCTTTTAGATTCTGCATATTTATTTAATTAGTATAATTTGACTTCAGAATGCACACAAGTGCTGTCTCCACTGAGACTAGATTTACCATTTATTTGCAAATAAGAAACAAGCAAAATGGTTCTGTTCAAGGAAGATCATTTCTTAAGTGGCTGATACAATGTAGGGAAGGAGCCAGTAGTTTTAGGTTTACTCAGTAATTTCTACTATACTTATTAAAACCTTCCTCAAAAATTAAACAAAATGGTAGAAACTTTCCTGCTATATTGTGTTTGTAGTTTTCTCTGTCTCACTGGTCTCCTTTACTCTTGTTCTGTTTTATTTGTGAGGCTATTTCTAAGCACCATGGCAAAATCGGAAGTTTAGGTTTTGTCTGGAAATTAAGAAGCTCCATTGGCGAAATTAAGAAACTCCATTGGCAGCCCGTTGAGCTGATTAATGTTCAGCTTATCTCTGCTAATTACCTCCCAGACTGTTTGAAGCTACAGAACCTAGAACCTACCCAATATTCATAGTACTAGTTAGCATGATATTCTCTGCAAGCTATAGGCCATGGTACTTTTATTTTTATTTCAATTTGATGATTGGGTGGGAGAAGGAGCTTGGTACTCGGGAGCCTGCCTCTCCTGGCTCTGTGCTTAGGGGTGACCCAATGCGGTGCTTATGGATCACATGTGGTGCTAGGAATTCAAACCAGAGTCCAAGGTATACAAGGCAAGTACCTTAATCCCTGTGCTATCTCTGGACCCATGGTGCTTTTTAACTTCTCCATAATTATAAGAGAAATGGGTGTGAAAGGAGAGCATACTCCATTAGTTAGTACTGAAGAAACTTCGCTCCTCTGAAATATATTTTGCCTCATAATGTTCTTTTTTTTTCTTTGTTTTCTTTTTGAGTCACACCCAGCAATACTGAGAGGTTACTCCTGGCTCTGCACTAAGAAATTACTCCTGGCAGTGCTCAGGGAACCATATGGGATGCTGGGGATGGAATCCGGGTTGCCTGTGTACAAGGAAAACATCTGACCCGCTGTACTATGCTCAGTCCCCTCTCATACTGTCCTCTAGCTATCCCCTTTCCTATTGATTTCTTTAGTTGTGCTGCCAGATAGTAATTTATCATGTGTGTTGTGATTTTATAGAACTGTAAAAGATAGTAACAAGTCATAAATATCTAAAGAATCAATGCTCTTGCACAAATATTTAATGACTTTTTGCATTATTGTATCCTTTCTATTATATTTTTAAATGCCTTCTAATTGAAGCTGTTATTAAGAATATTAACAAAGATGAGTCCTGACAACTGTGTTTATATCCATGTAATACTTGGGCAAGTCACTTTACATATGTGGGACTCAGTTTTATTATCTACAAATAACAACAGTAACACAAGTCATCTGTCCAGTCCTTTCAATGCTTCTATAATTGTGTTTTGCTGATAAAATTGTACTTAGAAAATACATTTAGGAATAACCCTTATGAAACCATGAAAATAGATGTGCTTTTTAAGAGAATGTCTCACTTTTAGAAGTAAAAATCTTATCTTTGGGTGGCCATTAGATATGAAGCAAATTATATAGTAAAGCAGCATGTTTATAAAACGAAATATTTCATTTCAATAAGATAGGATATTTTGCCATAGAGGAAAAATATATAGTTCATACTTTAGTATGAAGACTATTAGGAGGAAAATAATCATTTGAAGATAAAGTTATGTAACTCCTGTCTAAATATAATACTAAGTTTTATTTTAAAATTTAAAGCACTATGAAGAAAAAGATATGGTACAGTAGCACTTAGCAAATTTAACACACATTTTTTTCCAGTTCTTTAAGATATATTTAAAGAAAAATCACTATTTATGAAGAACTACTCAAAATAGTGGAGATACCACAGTGAACAAAACCGGCCACATCCTGACCTCATGAGGCTTACAGTCTAGGGTATGTAGTGGAACAGGTGGCAGATGGGAAAGTAGCAGGGTTGACAAAAAAAATTATAGTTTGCCAGAGCTTGCACAGGAATTGTAGAGAGAATGGTTTGCCTGAATGATAAGATCATGAAAAAAGGTAAAAGAAAAGTGAGTGACAGGGCTCTGTGGAGCAGAAGAAACAAAACATTAAGGCAGAAACTTGCTTAGCAGCCGGAGGGGAGAAAGTTTGGCAGACAGTGGTAAGGGATGGAGTCAGAAACACACATGCACATCTGAGTGACTGTGAGTGTGTGAGCATGGTTGTATATGTGTGTACCTGCCTGTGTTTATGGCTGTTGTTCATGATTGCAAGGACTTAACAATTGCTCCAAGAAATTTGTTTATGGATGTCCCTGGAGAACCATGAGAATGAACACAGCTGCATTAATATTTAAGGAATCACTGCTGTTTGTATACTTTTACTATACCATCAGAAAATGTCAATATTTAAAATAAGTGCTGAAATTCAGCTATAATGAAGTAGTTCTATTTTGAAAAATTTGTCACTGGTAAGTGTTTTGCTGGATTAGTTCATAAGAAGTATGGATGACTGTATGTAAACTTTTAAGTTTAAAGAACTGTGAGGTGCAGGGACGTTTTATCATATTTTGGTCAGGCAAGAGTGATGGCGAGAAAATGGGAGTACAAGTGGAAAATGTGATTCGTAAGTAGGGCCTCAGAGACTATTAGCAATTCAAGGCAATGGTTCAATGATTTTGGAAAGTTATAACTTTCTTTAAAGTTTGCTCTAAGCCATGGATTCTCTCCTCAGAAAAATAAATGACTTTACAGTCAAACTTTCGCTTATGGGGATGGATATCTTAAGAAGTAAGCCTAAAATGCTTCAAGCTATATAAATCTTTATTTTAGAGGTGAATTAGAAGAATCCAAAAGAAGGAGTGGTATCACTGGAAAAATCTAAAGGATTGTACTGAATTTGATAAAGTACCCTCCTTTCTTTTCATTTTTAAGAAGTCGTGTGTGTGTGTGTGTGTGTGTGTGTTGGGGGATACATGTGTGTGTGTTGGGGGTACATGTGTGTGCATGTGTGTGTGTGCTGGGGGTAATGCGTGTGTGTTGGGGGTACACATGTGTGTGTGTGTGCGTGCACATGTAAGGGGAAGAAAGGAAAAGAGAAAGACAGACATAGGCACAGACAGAGAGCCAAAGTTTTTCTAGACTGAGTGTGGTCAAAATGTTTCATATTTTTTATCATAGCTTTTTCATATTTTTTGTAACTTTCTAAGGACCAAACACTTGGTATCTTCTATTACAGAAGAGAATGCTTATTTCCACTCCCCCCTCAAATATTTCCTAATTGCTAAGTATAACCATAATAAATAAATTATACATTTAGAGCAAATTATGCTAATTGAAATGGTGCTAAATATTAAAATTTATTATCAAATTTCATTGATAAATTTTTCTTTTCATGACTATACTCCTATGCATCAAACACAAGAGTTTTAATATGTGAAGTAAGCTGAAATACAAATTGTGTTATTAAAACTATAATTTGAAGCAAGTGGTATCCAGCAGTTTAGTTAAAAGATAATTTTAATATTTGTGGATGGATTCGGTCCCCTGGTGATGAAAACTTTAGATATTGCATCATAGCAATGAACAAGTGGTAGCAATGCAACATTTTTTAAATACAAAACTTAAATGGTAAAAATAAGCTGAATAAAATATTTAAATGCAGGAGCATGAAAATTAAGTTAATAATTCACCTTTCACCAATAATTTTCTGCAACTTATGTGGCAAGTCAGTTTCCAGAATGAATAAGGACTTTCCAGTTTACGTGAGACAAAGACAGAGGTTAAAGTTTGAATTTTGGATATCAACTCAGGGACCAAGGTAACTGTTAGCCTTGATGTGTTAGCAGTGATTGAGAAGAATACATGTTATCTTTAAAAGTCATCTAACTTAGTAATTTAGCTTCATCTTGTTCTCATCAACTCCTAGCAAAGTTCTTCTGGGTTTAAGTATATCTAATTTAATTTTCAAATACTCTTTTCTTTATTCAAGTATGATGCTTTTATAAGGACTCTAAGAAGTCAGTATCAAATTTAATTTTTTTCCTTGTACAAAACTGGGAACTTATTTTGAATGATAAATTCACTGCTAAGGCATAATTCAATGTGTTTTCTTGACACAGAATTCCAACATGTTTACATGAAGATCTGGTAGAAACAGTGAGCTTATAAAACAATAATAATATTTCATAATGAAGGTATTTTCTAAGGCCTTTACATTGTCTTCTTTTAATTACTATAACAAGAAAATTAAAAATTACCCCACCCACAACTAATCCTATGAGATGAGGACAATAAGGAATTTTTTTAAGCAAACATTTTTTTTCAAGTTGTTCTGATATTTAATAACAGTTTGATGTTACTTTATATTTTATGTGCTTTTTTGATGAGATAAAAATTTGGTAGGGAAGTAAGCAAATATTCCTAAAAATGAATTATAAACAGCTGTGTTTTAGAATATTAAAAGAATTTTCAAACGTTTTTCTTAAATTTAGCAAATTCAATGCTTTTCCCTAAGTGAAATCATGGGAAAATCAGAAATGTAGAAATTTTCATGACTGGAGAGAAATGGTCTTCATGCCCCCAAAGTCATGTTCCTTAGCAGCCATTGTTGTGATCTGTTTCCACTACAGTCCTGCATAGTAGGCACCATTTTGTCTTCTTCAGAAGGTTCATCCAGACACTGGTTACTGTTCACATGTTTCAACGTGAGTCTCTATAAAAGATAGCCAAGAGTCAGTGCAATCTATTTCATCTTTTTCTTTCCTAGCACAAATCATGAACTCTCCTCTTTAAAAATTCAGCTGTTTCCTTTTAGTATTAACTTGGTATTCTGTTTGTAAGAGGAACTATCCACAGGTAACAGAATCAATTATGAAACATTTTTCACTATTATTTTGATGCATTGTTAGTATCCCTTTATTTACAGATGGTTAGAGGAATTGGCTGACATTCATTGTACATTGCCAAGATTTTAGGTTACTCTGCAAAAAAAAAAAAGCCCGTTTTTGAACTTCATTTGTGGGATATAAATATTAGCAATCTCTGACAAAAGCTTAGTTTTCTTAGGCATATGTTATTCAGTAACCATTTAGTAAACATGCAGAGAGATGTCACAGCTGTGACCCAAATGAACAAAACTGTTCCTGCTTTAAAAAATAAAGGAGAAGCTTTAGCAGCTATGAGTGACTGAGACATTCAGTGCAAGAGTCATTCTCAGAGAAACAGGATTTGTCTTCACTGTGCTCGCCATATTGTGGCTTGAGTTTTAGAAATACTAAATATATATTGACATAAATATAAAAAATGAAAACAGGGATAGTGTGATCGTATTTACAAGCACTGATTCTATACTTTAGTTACTTTATGATAGCAACAAGTAATAAACATTCTCTTAGCACCCAAATTCTTAATAAAATTCCAATCAATGCATCCTGTTAGCAAGCAATTCCAAGCCTTCTATTATTAATTCACACTAACATTTCTAAGTCACAAATTTTGGATTTTTCTGATCAAAACTTTAAGTCTACATGCTTTATGCAGAGGAATTTATGCACACTGATTTGATGTATGCATTTACACAAATGTAATTCGGTGAAGTTTAAGTCTACATGCTTTATGCAGAAAAATTTATACACACTGATTAGATATATGCATTTACACAAAAGTAATTTTGTGAAGCTTTATAGGAAACCGTATAACCAGTCTTTATAAAAGAGTCTTCAAGCAGAATTGTTCAAATATATGGAAGGTTGTATTTGCTACTATATGTTGAAAAACGGAAAACAAAAACGAAACATATCACATACACTTTTTGTTGTAAAATAATAAAATTAAATGTAGGAAACTCTTTCTTTGGCTTCTAAAATTATATTACATTAGAATGTGAATAACAGGGTGGGGAGCATCAATAAACATAATGGAGAAATGCTGCTTATTTGAATTAGGATAGCAAACACCCTGGGCTGCATCATCCTGAGAAGAGATAGATGATGCGTAAACAGACAACAAGCAGGATATTAAAAGAGTAAAGTTATTAGATACTAAAGAGATGTAAAGATTAAAGCCTTTTTTGTGCTTTTTTTCAATACATAGAACCAACGAGCATATGGTAAAAAGAAGAAATAGCCAAAGAAAGACAAGAAAGGAATTGATTTATATAATCACACAAACACAACACAAATCATCCTGTTATTCGTCGATTGCCTTGAGCAGGCCCCAGTAACGTCTCCTTCATCCTAGCCCTGAGATTATATTCAAGGCTCTTTAGGAGAATGAGACCCATCATTGTTACTGGTATTTGGCATATTCGGTATGCCATGGGGAGTTTGCTCGACTCTGCCGTGTGGGCAGGCTACATTCGGTAGCCTGCCAGTTTGTCCAAAGTAGGAATAAGATGTCAAAATAAGCTGTCGCGGCCGCGCGGTTCCGGGAGCTGGTTTTTATAGTCTCTGAGTCTCCAAATTCTTACTGGAATTGGAGGATCTGGGTGGAGGATGCTCAGCCCCAATCCGAATAGGCTTGGAGATCTCGGCCCTGGAACCCGTGTGTCTTTGTCCCTTTGCCAGTACCTTCATGTGTGCGGAGAGTGGTCTCAGCATGGTGGTGGCTGGTTCTGGAGGTCTTCGGCAGGCGGAGCCCTAGTCGGGGCGGGGAGGAAAGCTCAACCCACTCCCGTCCAAGGGGTCCCAGCGAGGACAGCCAGGCACGGGGGCAGGAGACTGCACTGTTCTCTTCCGGGAGCTGGTTCTTATAGTCTCTGAGTTTTGGCCGCTGATCTATATAAATGGTGCCAAATTTCATATGGTTGACTACAGATCAACTGCAAAATTTAAGCAGGTTCAAAACAAAAACATTTTCTAAAGAAAGTACTCAAATTAACAAACAATTCATTTCTGTTTCTATCCTTGATTTTTTTTTGACTGATAAGGGGATGGAGGTCCCCAATCAGTGCCCCAGGCAACTCTATGTGACACATAAGTCAACCAGGCCCATGATTCAATGGGTTGCTTCTTGGGCCTAGTTATGAGTACTGATGATTCGGGACACCTGATTGCCTTGAAGAGTGGATACATTTTGGAGGCTGAACTCACATTATATGCACTCTTGAATGGTGAGCTATCTCCCTGGTTCTTAAATGTCCTTCAAAAAAACTACTTACCCTTCTTTACTTCTGTTAGATATTGTAAAGAGACGTACACGCATTTAAGGACAGATTGAATATTGATTATCAACTACATAAATAATAATTTTAAAATATCAGCCACATTTTCTTAAAAAATATTTCCTTCCTTCCTTCCTTCCTTCCTTCCTTCCTTCCTTCCTTCCTTCCTTCCTTCCTTCCTTCTCCTTCCTTCCTGCCTTCCTGCCTTCCTGCCTTCCTGCCATCCTGTCTTCCTGCCTTTCTGCCTTCCTGCCTTTTTTCCCTCCCCTCCATTTTTGGGCCACACCTGACAGTGCTCAGGGGCTACTACCAGTTTCATACTCAGGAGTAACCCCCCAGTACTATTTGGAAATCATGTGGTGTTGGATGTTAAATCTGGATCTCCCACATGCTAAGTATCCAAGGATGTGCTCAACCCATGCTGCTGTCTCTCTGACTCTTCATAAATATTTTCTTTGAATATATTTATTAATAGCCCAAAGTAACTGTGGCAAAGATAACCACCAAAAAAATCTCTACTTTAAGATGTTGTTCACTAGAAATGCTAATAAACCTGAGTGTGAATTTTTGCTCCCCCACTAAATACAATGGAATACATGTTCAAATTACAAACTGATTCTAAGAAATCTCATTCTTTCTCCCTCCCATTCCATTTGTTGTTATTTTGGTTGTTGTTTGTGGTGATAGCTTGGGATCACACTCTCCCATGTGTTTGTTGTGCTGACACACTTGGTCGAGATGCTCGCTGAGGGTGGCACACTTTTGCTGTGGCATTTGCACATGTGCAGTGTCCTCTTTAATTGTGATGCTTGTACACATTCTGATTGGAGGGTTCACAAAGGATCACGCACTTAAGAGTCACGTGTAGAAGGTCACACAGTTGGCTTAGGTGCTGAGTGCTTGAACATTTTTTAGTTTTGATATTTGGTGAAAGTTAGATGCTTTAGCTGTGATATTTGCACACACTTGGCAGTGGTGTAATAAAGAGCAAAAAACATTGTAGCACCTGGGGTTTCAAGCAGCAGTAATGCCAGGACCTTTATGGTCATATGCAGGTTGCACCAGGGATCTAACTCCTGACTTCATGCTTGTAAAACGGGTACTTTGCCACTAAGCCATGCCAAAGCCCCTCACTGTCAGATTTCCTTCTTTCTTATTATTGATAAGATATGTACAAATTGTCCAAGTGTTAAAGAAAAAGCAACAATTGAAAAAATATTATAATAATCATACTACTTAACCAACCATAAATTCTTAGAAATAATTTACTTCAAAGACTTCTGAAAATTACATATAAGTTGAAATTCACCAATACATTTGCATAAAGTTTCAAGTCTAAATAATAAATTCTAGAAAGAATACACAATATTAACATAAAGTATTTGAGTAAATGCTAGAAAATTTTATAAATAGCCCTCAATCATATCTTAGCTATATTATTTTTATAGCAAAGTGGAAATCAAATAAACGTAAAGCAAAACCTATTGTCATATAGCTATGACTACTGTCAGCCTAAAAATGAACCAATGTCATAATATTTTCCATAAAATATATTTTTCTTTATACATATCAGAAACAAATATAAAACTGAAAATTTTATTAATAACAGACTAAACACCATTTAATATCCACAGCCTCTAAATGAGCCAAGAGATAAAAAAATAAAAAAATAAATTGAAGCCGTTCACATATTTCAACAATAGAATATAACAAATTTAATAAAAATCTGCAGCACATTCCTCTAAAGATAATTAGAGAATATAATCAGTAGAATTTGCAAAAACATTTCTAATAACTTCCATTCTTGAATAGTTTCTTAGTATCCATTTTTGCAAAGGGCTCTCATTGCACGTTTCCACTGCAGGATGTTGGGAGCCATGAGCTACTTTGCTTATTGAGAGACAGGACTGGGTGATTAAATGAAGAAGAGTGTGGGTCTGTTTGACAAAGAAAATAATGAATAATGACAAAATGAAGTACAAAGGCAGTAATCAATCAATCATTCTTGGCAACATACTATTTCTACTGGATAAGGATGAAAGGCACAAGTCACAATAATTGTATCCATGAAGCTGTGAGCTGCATCTTTTTGTGACTTCAATATCAACTATATTTTGTAGGAGCAAATGAAGCCAATGCTGAGAATATGGAGAAGGCATTGAGATCAAATGATGACATAATTTGGACAGAAAATAATTTTGGTGATAGAAAAAGTTACATTCCCAAGTGTTCATTCTATTGGTAAAACTTTTTTAGTGCTAAATGAGTTATTTGATGAGTGGAGTTGTTCAATTGATTCAAGGGTTTTTAATTATGTTCTTTGGTTTCTTCACTCTTAAGCTCCACATTTTTGGGGTTTTGTTGTTGTTTTAGACCATACCCAGGCTCTGCACTCCGAGATCAGTCCTAGTGTTCAGGGGACCATATTGAGTGTAGAGGATTGAACCCAGGGTAGTTCCATGCAAGGCAAGCACCTTACTCCTGTACTATTGCTCCAGCCCTATGCCTTAAATTTAACTGAGAACCAGAAACCAATCCAGGATAAATTAGCT